ACACACACACACACACACACACACACACACACACACACACACACCCTTTTGGCATGGCTTTTGAAAGACAAGGAAACATTTCAAATTTTCAGAAAGCCATTCTGAGTAGGAGCCGAGCCCCGAGCCCCAGTTCATTTCTCCTGTGCTGCCACCACTAGTACTGAGGTTGTGAGTGTGAGCGGCGTCTGAGCAGGGTCCAGGGTCGTGGCAAAAGCAGTGCATTAGAACAACAGTGGCCTTTGAGCGCGTCAGAATCATCTGGGAGCTTTGGGAAGAACACAGGTTCCCATCTCTCTCCAGATCAGGTCTGTCTCCACAGGGTGTGTTCAGTCAGCTCCACAGGTGATGATTCAGAGCCCAGCTTGATGCGAGAGCCACTGTTTTAGACGCATCTGGAGTGGTTACGCGTTGGGCTGTTAACTGCTGTCAGCAGTTCAAAACCACCAGCTGCTCTGAGGGAGAAAGGTGAGTCTTTCTACTGCGGAAAGAGTGAACAGCCCTGGAAACTCACCGCGGCAGTTCTACCCCATCCTGCAGGGTTGCTGTGAGTCAGCATTGACCCCGTGGCCATGAGTTTGAGCTGGGGGATCTGTAGGCAGGCTGGGGAAGGGGGAGTAGAAAACAGGAAGCTCCCCTAAGACATGATGTGATTCAGGAGAAGAAAACGTTTTCCAGGGACAGTCAGGAGGACTTGGGGTTTGAGTATGTTATAAGCAAGAGTTAACCAGGGACAGGTGCAAAGGCCCGGAGGCTGGCAGGAGCAAGGGCCTAGGAGGCATGTGGACCGAGTGCAGAGCAGGGGCCCAACGTGAGTTGGTAGAATGGTGGGGGGAACCAGATTGGGCAGGGCATTGAGGGTCATCCCATGGGTGATAATTTCTCGTTAAGAGCAGCCAGACATGAAGGTTTCATGTGCAATCAGATTATAAATTTAAAGTAACTGTCCTTAATTGCATCAGGCGCCTGCTCACCAAATCCAACCCTCAAGCAGTGCTCAGGCCCATAAAACCTTGTGGTAAAGTGTAAACTGAGAGCAAGGAGGAGTCCTGTTCCCTGTCGTTTCTAAATGCCATGCGGAGGGAATCCTCCCAAACACTAGGAGGTGGCAGCTGCCCCCACCCTCCGTTTTCACCGGGTCACTCAGCCATCCTCGGACACCGCTCTGTTTCTTCTAATGTCCTCCTTGCCTGGGCCCCCACTTGCCTCTGTTTACCCTACGGGATGGCCTTGTGGAGAGTGTGCTACTTTTTTCTAAAGCACAGTTAGTTACTTGGAGACTTGATCGCATTATTTCCCCTTCTTGTTTGCAAACACTCGTTTCCTTCCACAGCTCCTCCAATGGCCCTGCTGGTCACCATGAAGGAGGGACAGGAAGGGTCATCTGATTTGACGGTGAACAAGAGGAGTTCAAAATCCGGTCACAGGGCGATAGGGGTGGCCTCGGAGTGGAAATGTCCCACAGGCTGGAGGCCGTGCAGCGATGGAGCTGGGGGAGAGGCTTGGTTTCTACAAGAGTGAGTCGAGAGACAGAGCTGAAATGGTGGAGAACTAAGACAGCCGAGGAACAAGAGTCCCTGAAGAAGACAGAGCAGTGGGGCGGGGAGGAGGAAGAATGATAAGATGATAAGTAAGCACCTCCTGGGATCCCGGGTGGTGCCAATGGTGAATGCACTCGGCTGCTACCAGAAAGGTCGCAGTTCAAGTCTGCCCAGGGGTCCCTCAGAAGAAAGGCCTGGTGAGTTACTTCTGACAAGACCCTCGGGAGCACACGTTTGCTCTGATACAGGAGGGGTCACCTGAGCTGGGTAGGACTCCATAGGCACTGGTTTTAAGTACTTGCTAAGGCCTGGCACTGTCCTGGGGGGCCTGGCAAATGTTATCTCACTCCATGCTCCCTCCAATTGTGGGTGTCATTCTTCCTGTTTTACAGACAAGGGAAGGAAGGAGCTGGGTGCACTACCTTAGGTCAGGGGAAGTCCAGGGACTCAGCAAGGGATAGGAGAGACTTCCCTGAAGTGGTGGAGTGGGGGCTTATTCAACCAGGATCTACGGGATGCAGCGCAGTCTGGTTCATACAAATGCACGCCGGTGGGTGCCAAGTGAGATGCTGGAGGTTCAGAACCACGCAGAGGCCCCCCGGAAGAAAAGATTGGCCAGCTCCTTCTGAACAAGCCCGCCCCTGACAACTCTACAGACACCGGTCCACTCGGACATGCTGCTGGCCGCCTCCTTGAGTCAGAGTCCACTCCGCAGGCAACTGGTTTGGTGGTTGTGTTTGACCCCAGAACCTACGCTCTTGCCTCCTCTGAGGAATACCAGGCTAGATCCTGAATGCACGTGGCAGCTGCATATGGAACAAGATAGACCAAAGAAGGAAGTCCAAACGCACGGATACGGCTGAATCGTGCAGCCGGTGAAGAACACTGAGAGCACCGTGGACTGCCGAAAGGACAAACACACCTGCCTTGGTAGAAGGACAGCCGGAATGTCCTCAAGCACTCTGGACATGTCGTCAGGAGAGACCAGTCCCCGGGGAAGGACACCAGGCTTGGTCAAGTAGAGGGGTAGCAGAAAAGAGGAGGGCAGCCCTGGAAACGACGGCTGGACACAGTGGCTGCAACCTGGGCTCCAGCACAGGAAGAGTTGGAGGTGCGTTGTTCTGTTGCACAAAGGGTCCCTTGAGTTGCCATCTCACAGCAGCAACAGCATTCAGAAAGGGGTGGAGGGTCAGCTGGGCAAGAGAGAAGTTCAGGAGATGGAAACTTGCAAGACGTCAAAGAAGTTGGCAAAATGGAAGCCACTTGTGATCCTTACGCCTGAGTACTGAGCCTCGGTGTGATTGCAAGTGAGCCTGCAGGGGCTGAACGAAGTGTTTGGGGAGGAAAAGGAGCCCTGAGCAGACCAGTCAGCGGAGAAGTTGGCTAGGAAAGGAAGGAGGAAAATGCTGTGTGTGTGCGTGCCCATGCACAACAGGATGGCTTCACTTTTTGGTTAGTTGCAAGCCTTTCAGAAAGGTAAGAAAGGTACGAGAAGCCAATGGCACCAAGGCAGGATTATTTGTCTGGGCCAAAGATCGGAGTGGAGTAATGATAGGCTCTTGGCAGAGGGTGGGGAGGGAGGAACGTATTTGGCAGGAGGTTCCCTCATGTGAAAAGGGAGGTTTGAAACTGGTATTTGAGGGAGAGGCAGAAAAAGCCCTGGCTGAAATGCAGCAGCCAGACACCATGGAGGCTGAGCAGGACCCAGAAGGGGAAGCAGGGCTCAGTGACCGGCAGATGCTTCCAGGGGGAAAGAAGAAGGTTAAGTTCTTTGGGCCCACAGAACCACAAACACAGCTGCTCCACCAGAGGCAAGACGCAGCCAGATGGGGTCCTCTATCCGTTCAAACACCAACAATCTCACCCAATGAAAAGCAGGGCCTCGGACTATTTCTGGACGTGCCCAATAGACAGCACTGTCTCAGCGAGACACCCCTTCTTGAGCGGGGTTGTGAAGGGCAAGGGAAGGAAGCTTCCTATGAACCAGGAAGGTCAGGCAGAACCTTGGATCTTCAAAGGAATATATTTTTTAGATCAGTCAATCGAGGCCCAAAACTTCAAAGCGAAGATGGCCCAAGAAGATTGGAAAGCTCACAAAGACAAAATTGGGGTGATGTACGCAGACTCAATACGTAAAAGGACCCACCTGCACATCTATTAATGTCTCTCAGTCACTCGGGAATGTCTGTTGAACGGTGGTCCAGCTACGGAAGGACAGAGATGGCTTTCCAAGAGACGAGCATGGTGAAGGGAAAACAGAAGGCAGAGTTGTCTAGGCCACGGCTCCTCACAGATTGAGGATTCAGAATCA